GAGTGAATTTCCTTCTCCTTCTGATAAATCACTTCATTTCAAGAGTCCGAAGCGATACATTGGGTGAAGGAGGGAAGGGATGAGGCCGCGCGGCCGGATCTGGGGGTGATAAAAGGCGGTTTGGGGACGCTCGGCAGAGAAGGAGAGGGGGAGAGGGAGAGGGGGAAAGAGGCAGAGAGAGAGGCAAATGTGAGAGGCAGAGAGAGAGAGGAAGAGAGAGAGGAAGAGAGAGAGAGAGAGAGAGAGAGAGAGAGAGAGAGAGAGAGAGAGTAAGTGAGAGAGAGAGAGAGAGAGAGAGAGAGAGAGAGAGAGAGAGAGAGAGAGAGAGAGAGAGAGAGAGAGAGAGAGAGAGAGAGAGAGAGAGAGAGAGGGAGAGAAAGAGAGAAAGAGAGAGAGGAGGAGGAAGAGGAAGGGCGATAGAGAAGTGAGCAAATAGACAAAAATAAAAGATAAGAAAGAGAATTGAGGAGAAGAGATACAGAATAATACTATCGTCAACCCATAAGAAAAAAATCTCAGATGCAATTGCCTCTCCGTATCCTTCAGTGTTTCCAAAAACCGTGAATCATTGATGGGAGCTCGTTATAAGTCATCAGTAAGAGGATTTAAAGGCTGCCGCCCCGCCCGAGTGCTTCGATAGAATCTCGAGGAGGAAAAGACGGAAGTAGAGGAGGAAGAGGAAGATGCGAAGAGAGGGATGAAAGATGGGGGAAATCACGCACATACATGCACATATGTTTAGTCAAAGCTTGATCTATCTGTACGTTCACACACCCACACGCACACATATCTGTATAACTATATATATATGTATGCATGTATATATGTATGCAGACACACACATACACACACACACACACACACACACATATATATATATATATATATATATATATATATATATATATATATATATATTTATATGTATATATATACATGTATATATGCATGTATATATATATTTATACACATATATGCATATATACATGTACATCTACATAAAACACACACACACACACACACTATATATATATATATATATATATATATATATATATATATATATATATATATATATATCCCACCTTCACACACACATATATCTATATATATGTATATATACATAAATATATGTATATATACATATAGATATATGTATATATACGTATATATCTATATGTATGTATGTATATGTAAGAATGCTTACACACACAGAGCCTAGTTGCCAACCTCCCAAGCAACCTGACGAGCAGCGCCGCGCGAACGCAAACGGGCAGCGACGAGAGAGATGGATGGGTTGCGCATATATCATTTTTAAGCGTCTTTTATCGTTTGTAAACATAAATATCGATTGTCGGTGTATGATACGTCAGGTGGGCGTGGAAGGGCGGCGTTTCAAGTGCTGAAGTCGGGCTCTTGTTACGCGCATCGTCCTACCTCTGGCAACCCCTGTGCGCTCAGGTGAACCTAAAATCCTTTCCCCTTTTTTTAAAGAATATAATAATCCTAATCTCAGGCACTTTTAGTTCGGAAGCTCTCTGTAAATACCACAGCCTTAACTTTGAACAAGACAAACAAAAAGAAGTCATGCATCGCCATAAAACATTTTAAGACCTACGACACTTCACCATCTCGGCGGCCCTACATGTCTATAAACTGCCTGTATTTCCACACTTGAAGCTAAGATAAACAGTCGGACAAGGATCCAGTCGAGAGATGGACTCCATGATACAGCTATTGAATGTTATACGGACATTTTGACGTCATGCATAGATGCGCTGACGTCACGGCGTTGCCCTGTACGATAATTATCATAACTGTAAGGCTGTTTTTTTCCATATTTTTTATTACTTTGATAGCTTTTTGTGCATGATCTTGTTACGTGGCTTCTGAAACCCCTTATTTTGCACTTTGTCGAAGGGGAAAAATATTGGTACTGTTAGTCAAATCGTCGTTATATCTGGAACACTATAAAAAACAATACGAAAACCTATAAAATACACAACAGCCATAGACAAAACACAACAAGCAAGAGAAGTGCGCATTGAAGTCTTACAGAGGAGGGAAAATCTACCTTTTACATCCTGTTAATATCCCAGAAAAAGGTCCCTACAAAAGAAAAGCGACAAAGTAACAGCGAAAACTAGGAACAGTGACAGCAGAAGGGCGAATGGGTCTCACATGCGGGGAATGTCTGCGAAAACACATTTGGGATGCAAGTATGCACAAGGGTAAAGAGAGAGAGAGAGAGAGAGAGAGAGAGAGAGAGAGAGAGAGAGAGAGAGAGAGAGAGAGAGAGAGAGAGAGAGAGAGAGAGAGAGACGAAGACGGCGAGAGGCAGGGACAAGGGGTCTGCGGCATGGCTCCCGGAGAGCAGCCACATGGTCAGGGTCTCTCAAGGGAGGCTGGTGTCCCAGTCATAAAATAAAATGTTTGTAACTGCTTTTGTATACTTGTTGTCGACTGTCTTCATTAGGTGGGAAAGAATGGATGGGGGAGAGGGGAGAGAGTGGGAGTGATGGGGAGGAGAGCAGGGGTGGGAGGGGAGGAAAGCAAGATGGGAAGGTGGGGGAATAGGGATGGAGTAGGAATGATGAAGAGAGAGTGGGAAGGATGGGAAAGGAGACAGAGAGAGAAAGAGAGAGAGAGAGAGAGAGAGAGAGAGAGAGAGAGAGAGAGAGAGAGAGAGAGAGAGAGAGAGGAGAGAGGCTTTAACCCTTTACAAAGAGATTCACACAAGCTTCATTTGATTCGATTCCATTCAAGGCCGGAGTTCGAATCCTTCTTTGTCTTATTCGCACTGCAATGTGGTTATTATCAACGAATTTATTGTTTACGCATTAATTCGTTTAATCTATTACTGCTCTTAACGATTTCGTAACACTTTTATTCTTAGTTACACAAAGTTTACTAAGTAGAGTGGCATGGTACTTTAAATGTAATAAAATAGAATATATCTTCACTTTACTTTTCAATTCATTATCTCTTTACAGCCATACTTTTATTATCATTATTATTATTATTAATAAGCATGCGCTTAAGTCCTCTGATGGTAATTAATTTTCGTCTTGTGAGCGAGGTAAATAAAATCGAACATAAAAGATAAGACAAAGTTTACGTTTCAATATCAAAATATAAATGAAAATTTAAGATCTGAAATGTATACATCAATAATCACAGTAGAGTATTTATAATTAACTGTGATTTAAGTGATAATAAAAAGTATGTGTTAACCCGTTAAAGTTTTCAGCCTTCAAAACATTAATAAAGACAGTTCATCCGATAATCTCAAGGCCACTCAATTTTGCTAATGGTAAAAGTAGATCTTATTAACTTTATAATTGTTTTGTTGGTAGTTATATTATACTTCAGTGTACACACACACACACACACACACACACACACACACACACACACACACACACACACACACACACACACACACACACACACACACACACACACACACACACACACACACACACACACACACACACACACACACACACACACACACACACACACACACACACACACACACGCACACACACACACATTTATATATATGTATGTATGTATATATATATATATATGCGTGTTGATATGTAGACATGTATGCATGCATGTATAATAGTGCAACCTACCGTTATAATTTTTTGGACAAAAATCCGCCGATTATTCAGCATAGAAAGCGGTCAACTACCGGCGATATCTCTATCGGAAAACATCCTAATAAAAATCAAGGACCCGTGGATGTAGAGGCACGTCGGTTGTTTTGGAGCCATTTTCCAAGAGGTTGTAAATCAGGTGCATTAATTTATAATAAAAGTACCGGCAGTACTTCCTCGGTTTGCATGTATATTCACACACGCCACAGGTGCGAGTAGGCAAAGCGCGGGCAGCCGAACCCAGCAACACGGGCGAGCGTGAACCGAGCGGCGCGGGTCGCCTATCGCGGCCGGGGACACGCCTCGGCCGAAGCGCCCTGACGGCGGGACTTGCACCCTGATAGCACGCACTTCACCCTTCCCCCTCGCGCGGCCTCTCATTTGTTTTGATTTAGGGTTTGTTTGCATTGTTAGTTTTCCTTAATTGTATTAATGTTGATATTATTCATATTGTTTAAATTAGTGGTATTAGTTTTATCGACATTATTTTTTCATCGTTATTATTGCCGTCATTATGATTATTATTATGATTACCACCATAGATGTAACCAATATTATCTCTTGTTATCGTTCATGTTATCATTATTTTGATAACTGATTGGTATAACGGCAAACACACACACGCACCTACTGTTATAACCACCATTATCATCACAATCACCACTGCTATTCTTGCCCCAGTCACCATCACCACCGTGATTATTTTTTTAAACCCAAGTGTCTACTTCGTTTTCCTCTCTCTTCCCTGTCACTCTGACTTACACCCTCCAAGTGAGCACATCACACTCAAGGGTGTATACCATTCCATACAAGAGTCTCACACTTTATCGCTCTCACTTTTCTATTGCCTATACCGTTCATCTTATTATCGTTTATCAAAAGCAATGTGCGATTTAGATCTCAGAATGGCCGTGGATTTTGAAACTGAATTTCATATTTCAAGCAGTATTTTCATCATTACATTACAGCTGGTACACACTATAGCCCCTGTAAATTAGATCAGAGTTTCGCTCTAATTCGTATGAATGAAGTGTGTCCACTTTCCAGTTATTTATGTTGTGACTCGTTGAAATCATACGTTATATCAATGGCCGAAAACGAATTATTTGATGCTGCTTTCGTTGCCGGTGTTAACATTATGGCTGCTCTCCACATATTCATACACAGTTAAAAAATATAAGTTAAATGATACCGTTCCGTGATAACTTGTTTGATATTATCACAAAAATCCATACCTATCACAGTAATGATCATCTAAAAATAGTTATACGAACAAGAGCCATAACAAAAATAAAACAAGACATGACTATGTCCGCTGAAGTCGGGTCTCAC